TAACTTTTTATCGAACTATTAAAAAAAGAGCATAAATGGTGTTGGATAAGTAAATGTCAAGAGACTTTTGAGGGCTTGAAAAAAGCCATGATGAAAAACCCTATCTTGGCTCTTTCTGACATTGGAAAACCTTTTGAAGTTCAAACAGATGCATTTGATGTCGCTATTGAGGGAATGCTTTTGCAAGAATAGCACTCGATGGCATTTGAAAGTTAAAAGCTGAGCAAAGTTGAAAAAAGATATACGACCTATAAGAAAGAGCTTTTACTAGTAATTTATTACTTAAAGGCATGACGGCACTACTTGTTGGGTTCTCAATTCATGGTTAAGATGAATAATGTTGCAGTTAGTCATTTTTTCACCCAACCGAGGCTTACGGCTAAGCAACCTAGATGGCAAGAGTTTCTAGCCGAATTTGAATTTTGTGTTGAACACATAAATGGAAGAGCCAACCAAGTGGCAAATGCATTAAGTAAATAAGCGAAATTGGCTGCTCTTCGGAGAATTGCCCTGATGTTGGCTGGTAAAGTTATGATAGACAAGCTAGTTGAAGATAATTTAAAAAAAAGCCCACAGGCCAATGCCATCTTAAAGCTAGTAGAAAAAAAGAAGTCCAAGTATTTTTGACAGAAAAATGAGGTCTATTGACAAAAGGTCTTTGATTGTTTATGCCTAAAACAAAAGGTTTGAGATAAAAGCTAATGAGAGAATGCCACAACACACCATGGGCAGGTTACTTTGGTTGGGAATGTAATTTGGCTTTATTAAAATAAAGCTATTATTGGCCTCATATGTGATAAAATGTGATGCACTATACGAAGACTTGCCTTGTTTACCAACAGGCCAAAATTGAAAAGACGAAATTGGTAGGCATGCTTCAACCGCTACCTATACCCATAAGATCTTAGAAAATTATCTCTTTTAACTTTATATTAGGCTTTCCTAAGGTTAGTGATTTTGGGTCTATTTTGGTGGTAATTGACCATTTTTTGAAATATACCATGACTAGTCCAGCCCAAAAGTATTGCATCGCGGAAGATATGGCCCGTTTAATATTTAAGCATATGATCAAGTATTAGGGTCTTCTTTAAACCATTGTTAGTAATAGGGATCTAAGATTCACTAGTTCATTTTGAAGAGAACTTTTTAAGATCTTGGGATCTCAGCTCAATATTTCTTTAAGTAATCACTTAAAAACCAATAGTTAGACCGAATGATTTAATGGATTGTTAGAAGAGTACATAAAATACTTTATTCAAGCTAATCAAAAGAATTGGCTTTTATTATTACATATAGCTCAGTTTTATTTTAATTTCAATAAGTATTTTCCCATAAACAAGAGTCCTTTTGAAGTGGTTAGTGGACAACTACTAAGATTATTGCATATGTTCCTTGAGCCATTATGAGAGAAAAATCTGCGAGCTTTCAACCTTTGCAAAAAATGGAGATATAACACAGAAATTATGCAAGCATACTTAAAAGAAGGTATTGAAGCTCATGAAGAAATAGGCAAATAAGGGTCGAAGGGCACGACAATTGAAAGTTGGTGACTTTATGCTTGTCAGACTAGTGCCATAACAAATCAGGTTCCTAAGAAAGTAGGATCGTAGGTTAGTGCATAAGTATAAGGGTCTAATAAAAATCTTTTCAAAGTGGAGAATGCTTCTTACAAAATTGACTTGCCAAAATGGATAAAGGTACATTTATTGTTTCATGTGAGCAATTTAAAGCCTTATCATGCAGACCCTACAGATGCAAGTTACAAAGAAATCAACCAAGGTTGTCATTACAATGAAGTCACTATCAAAACATTGGATTGAAGAGATTATAGCTAACAAGATATCGATGTTCTTTTTATACTTGTTGTACTATTTTCGATATTAATAAAATCTTTTTTCTCTTTCGGGGGTATTATAGGTCGCCTTGGTGTGCACCCATTATGTCCTAATATATCGTTATGCATTCTTAAAATTAACTTGTGGCTTATTAGTTGCTTATTTAGATATCAAACTATCTTTGACTGACTTATGTGGAAGCGTCCATTCAAATACCGTACGGTCTATTGCTTTATCGAAGAAAGCTTAGTCTATGACATTAAACACGCCAATCCATAGATTGACATTTTTAATATTAAATAAATAATTATTTTTTAATAATAATGTAATATTTGACTTTTATTTAAAATTATCATTTATCATGATTTTTTAAAATTTTTCATACAAATAAATTTTAAAATTATGAGATATAAGATTCAATTAATTTGTTTAATGTAATATTTGATTATGGGATATAACTTAATTAATTTATTTAATGTAATATTTGATTTTTTTTACATGAGGCCAATTAAAATATTATTTTAAAAATTTTATTTAATACATCAATTTCATTAAATTTAATTAAAAATACATTAATTATAATTTTTATAAATATCTCTTTAATCAATGTGACATAACACATTACTTTTTTTTTATTTTTATAATAAATCAATGATGTGGATAGATCTAAGCTTCCGCACTGACAAATAATAATAAGCCACATAGACTTTTAGTGCATGCTTTGATTTTTTTAAGCGAAAAAAAAAAAGTGAAGTCACATTGTTTTCATTTTCTTGGAACCTTGACACTAAGTATGAAACGTCGGAACCGTTAAACAAAGTTATTTGTCACACCAACAAAAAAAAGACAGCCATTTCCTTTTCCAAAAAGATCCTTTGATTTTGGGCAAAGACAAAGTTGAATTCTAAATTTAAGGTAGAGGTTAAAAACCTTTATCTGATAGGTCACTTCCTTTACCCTTTTTTTTTCCCCTTTATATTGCTCACGTTTCTTGTCATATTTTGCCTTTATTCTTTATTCTTTACTCTTTACATCATCTTTCTTATGTCAACATTAGTGGAAACTAAAATCGCATTATATTGGTATGATATGAGTATTCTGAATAAAATCTATTTAGATTGCTAATAAATTTAGTTTTAATGAAATTAAAACAGTAATAATAATAAAATTAATTATTATAATAAAAATATTTAATATTATAATGATAAGATCAAAACTATTAATGAAATATGTTTGAAAAATAAAACAGCGATAATGATAATTTGAAGTAACATAATAAAATAAAATGATCATTAATGAATTATATTAAAGTTTATATATATAATAAAATTTTATTCACTCAAAATATTTACAAATATTCTTTTATATTAAAAATGATTATATATTTAATGGTAATTATTAAATTATTTATTAACTTATTTATGTATTTATTTATATAATTATAAAATTTTATTTTTATATTTGTGTATTTTTATTGTTGTAACTATTTATGTATATATGAAATTAATAATATATAAAATTATTTTATATAATCAATTATATGTATAAATATATTTATTTATGTATTTATTTAATTCTTTGTTATTAACTTATTCATATAAATTCATTTACTGTTTTAAATCATAAATAATTAAAAATTTTAAACAAAATAAAGTAATTAAAAATGAAATGGATAAAATGGTAAGGAAGTTACGGTCGGAAAGATTTTCTTTTCACTGGACCTTCAAGCACCAATCATCAACCATGACTGTGATACAATTGAAACTTAAAATGGCTTCACCGTGTTCTAGTGTTGATATCCAAATGCCCCATAAGTTTAATAAAAGCTATAACATGCATCTTCTCGGAGGCAAAACGGAGATCTAAATGAATTTTAGAACTCAATTTGAGAATTTGATTTGAGAATTTAAAAAAAATGCGTATTATAATCAAATTAGACTCTTAAATGAATTATAAAATTTATTTAAAAGGAGATGAGAATGTTGCATTGAAAATGTATTTTATGAATAAAATTTTAAAAATTTAATTATAAAATTTATTTTTTGGTGCAATAAAAATATCTATCAAGCTCGCAAATAAAATTTAATTCGGCATTAAACAAGAGGAGAATAAAAAAAAAAAAAGTAAGTGAATAAAGCAAGGAATAATTCAGGGACACAAGAGATCAATAATTTGGCATCAGCTTCTCAACCAATACGTACCATTATATTATTATTTTGTGGTTATAGAAAATTTTGGTCAAAACAAGTTATTGCCGTCGTTTTAATGTGCTTTCCCTTTTTTCCTTTTTAAAATAGGAATTTGTTTTCGTTAACAAATAAAAATAAAAGGGTTTTTTTTTCTTATATATATATATATATATATGTGCCATGTATGTATGGATATAAATACAAACATCAATCCAAAATCAAGCAGAATTGGTTATGTAAAATTGATTGGCAATTAAATGTGAAATGTTAAGGGGTTTGCGACATTGTTCAAAATCAATCCCAGATTACGCATTTTGTAATCAAATTATTAATGGTAATTTCTTCTACTTTTATCCTTTTATTTTTTAATTTTTTTTAAAAAATAAAGAATAAAACAAATGGTAACAAAAAAAATTAAAAGCATATGGCATCTACGTCCTTTCGTTCAAAGAAATCGGTCCATTGACTAAAATTATTTTATCATTATGCGGTTCAATTGGGTTCATTTTAGAAAAAAAAATTGAGATATCTAATTAATATTTTAATAATTCAACGGGTAAAAGGAAGCTTGGCTCAAGTATTAAAAATAATATTTTTTGTTTATATAATGAAAATGAAAATTAATTTTTTATAAATTCTTTAAAATTAATATAAATTCAAAAGTATATAAATAATTAATTTAAAATTATTTAAATTAATTCAAAAGTAAATGTATAGAACAAAATTACAATTACTATATAAAAAAATCCCAATGGAATTGTGGAAACCCTACTTTAATACATAGAATTCAGCTCATGGTCAGGTAAAATTCACCGTTTAATGTGGTCTAAAGTAAAGCCAAGAAACGTTAAAAATTAAAAAAAAAAAAAAAAAACTCGACAACTTTTATTTTTCTTACTTTTAGACGGTAAATTGAATCGCAAATACAGAACAAAAAGAAGGATTTTACCATTTGTACAGAAGCGGTGCCCTAAAAAAGGTTTCAGACTTTCAGTTATTCTTCTGGCCAAAGCTACATCGATTTGTTTAAAAGGTTGAAAAACCTGGAAAGCGACTTCCGTTTAAAAAAAACCGAGGCTTGTCATTACGCTTTTCTTCTTCTTCTTCTTCTTCGTCAAAGCTTTCCGCCGCTCAGAGACATTAAAACAAGGAATTTGCCTGCAATAAGAATTCACAATCACTTTAATACACTATTTTTCAGAGAAAAGAAAAATGAAGTACGTGTTGGTTACTGGAGGAGTTGTAAGTGGACTCGGCAAGGGCGTCACCGCCAGCAGCATAGGCGTCGTCCTTAAAGCCTGTGGCCTTCGTGTTACGTCCATCAAAATTGGTTTTTTCTCTAATCCTTTTTTTTTAAATGTTTCTTTTGTTTATGCTTATCATTTTTCTTTTCTTTATATGGGTTCAGGATTCCAGGTTGGTTTCGAACTTTTGTGCTTCTCGACTAATGGCTGTTATTTTGAGTGCATATTTTGTGGAAGTTTTATATACTATGCTTTTTTTCAGTGTTTATTATTTCTATTGCTTACTCTTTGTTTCCTAATCTTCTTGATTTTTTGGGATTTATTTCGATTTAAATTTGAGGACAATCCTGATCGTGCTTATTTTTGTTCGTTAATCTTCTTCTTTTTCTTTGTATCTTGCAGATCCTTATCTGAACACGGACGCTGGAACCATGTCTCCTTTTGAACATGGGGAGGTTTTTGTTCTTGATGACGGTGGAGAGGTTTTACTATCTTTTTTTTTTGTCTCTAGCATTAATTATTTCTGCTAACAGTATTTGCCAAAAAAAAAAAAAAAGAAAACCTCATTGCAATATGGTATTAACCAACTTGGTTTATGTTGATGTTTGCTCTTAAAAGGTCGATTTGGATTTGGGTAATTATGAGCGCTTCCTAGATGCTACTCTTACTAAAGAGAATAACATTACTACTGGAAAGATATATCAGGTATTTCAGTTTATTCAGAACAGATGCTAATGTATTTCTTCGGCAATCACCTGAGTTCTATTAGTGGTTGAAAATAATCCACTTGTATTTTCTTATCAGTCCGTCCTTGAGAAGGAACGAAGAGGTGATTATCTTGGAAAGACTGTTCAGGTGGTTTTTCTTATTATCAAATCATTTAGCTACTTTTGTCTGCATAAAGAAAGTAACATAAGTTCCTGTCTTTTCTCTTTTGAGTGGATGCCAGGTTGTTCCACATATCACAGATGCTATTAAGGATTGGATTGAGTCAGTTGCTCTCATTCCTGTGGATGGAAAAGAGGGTCCTGCAGATGTATGTGTGATAGAGTTGGGAGGCACTGTTGGTAAGAGCTATGCTAAAAAAAGGCATTTGATGTGTCAGGAATTCTCTCTATTATTTTTTTTGTCACTTTTTTTGGGTGAGAGATGATTGATCCTTTTTTTTTTTTTGGGGTGGGGTGGGGGGGTGGTGATTCTTCAGGTGACATTGAATCAATGCCATTCATTGAGGCTTTGCGACAGTTGTCCTTTTCAGTTGGTAAGCCTGCAGTGTTTTCTGTTTTTAAGAAATGTAAATAATACTCTGAACCTTTGTTTGTTTACCAATAATTTTTCCAACTTGATTATTAGCCTTGTTGTCATGTGGTGCCCAGTGCTTGTTTAACATATGTGGTTAACGTTCAGACCCACATGTAGTCACAGACCAGAAAGTTGTGCCTACTGGGACCCGGATTCATAAGGAATGTGTTGGCCAAGAATTTTTGTGGGTAATATAATTTGATTAAGTATGTAGCACTACAATTGTGCAACTTGTGCGTTATTCAAATGTACCATGCTATGCTGGTCCATAGGTTAAATACTTTGGACATGCATTTGCAGTGTGGTGTGTGTACGCACACACACAAGTTGATAAATGAGAAGTCACAGTTGTTCAGGTTTCTGAAGGATTGGTCGCCTTTCCCACCCTGTGGAATCCTCAATCTGTTAATAAATGATTCTGCATCTATGATGTGGCACAAAGAGATTTTATATCAGTCTATTTCGTATTTTTGGATATGAATCTTCATGTGTCGTAATAATTTCTTTTTCTTCATCAGGGCAAGATAACTTCTGCCTCGTTCATGTCAGCCTAATACCTGTGCTGGGTGTTGTTGGAGAGCAAGTAATGCACCATAATTTTCCTTTAATATAATACATAAATTGCAAAGTTCTTTTAGTTCATTGTTTTATATCTTATTTTTAAACTGGTGTCATTTAAGTCCCTTATTAAACATTGTCACCTTTTGTGGTGAAAATAATTCTCTCTCTCTCTCTCTCTCTCTCTCTCTCTCTCTCTCTCGTGGATGCAGAAAACTAAGCCTACACAGCATAGTGTCCGGGAACTTAGAGCATTAGGCTTGACTCCTCATCTGCTTGCGTGTCGCTCTGCTCAGGTACACTGCCTTGCCATGCTTTCATGCCATAGATGATTTTGCCATTAGAATCGCTTGGCAAGTAGCATCATTGCATTTTATCTTTCTGGAGTATTATTGCCTGGCTCATTATAGCACTTTCATGCATTTTGTTAGTTTTTAAATAGGTTGGCATGAATCTAAGTAATCATTATCATCTTTTGGAGGTGTGGCATCTTGTTGTGGTTGTGCTCTACTTACGTAAGTTTTATTGCCAAGCAATAGTTGGCCTTGTTGTAGTTAGCTTGGTACTGCACCTGGCATTCATATCGTATAAATATTTTTTTGTAAAATTGCTATTTATCAGCTTTGGCTCTTGGGTTTACTTTTTTTTTTTTTTTCTCTTTTATCTTGCTTAATATCCTTTTGATTGCTTTGTTTTCTTGATCTAACCTTTGTCCCAAACTTGATGTAAATATACTCTTTTGGTTGGTGACTTGCAGCCTTTATTGGATAATACAAAGGAGAAACTTTCACAATTTTGTCACGTTGCGGTAAATTTGTTGGAAAATTTTGGTGTGTGTGTGTTTTTTTTTTATTTAGGTTTGTCTTCTTGACTGACGATTTCATCTATTGCCTTGTGGTCCCTCACAGGCTGCCAACATCCTAAATATTCATGATGTTCCCAATATTTGGCATATTCCTCTCTTACTTAGAGTATGTTCCATAGCAGTTCTTCCATTTCTCTAGAACTTAAGGATTCCTAATCTATCATACTTGTGCATTTTTTAATGCTGTTTCTTGTTAACTATTGCTTCAGAACCAAAATGCTCATCATTCAATTCTGAAACAGCTAGATTTGCTCAGGTTAGTTTTTGGTTCAACATTTCCAACATCTACATCTTATTTATTTATTTATTTTTATCATAGAACAGCGAAGTTTGTTATAACATACTTCATCTATGGCTTAACTCTTTGATACGCAATGAGGTCTAGGCAATCAAGATTTTTTGTATGCAGCCTAACTAGTTGATTTTTATCTTTTTCTTCTATCTCTGTGATTTTAGCACTGGGCAAAGGTTATATTTGTTACTGATTTTAGCATGTCAAACAGTTGGCATTGAAATTGATCGACTGTTAACTACCAAATTCAGTATTAAATTTGGTTCAAGGTACCGATTGCAGGAAGGTTTGATCAGTTTAACTAAGTGGTTTTAAACTTCTGTTTCAGTATTGCCACACCTCCAGATTTAGAAGCTTGGACCAGGAGGGCAGAAACTTTTGATAATCTGACTGATTCTGTTAGTACTCTTAATTTAACTCTAATTGAGCAGTTTGAAATAGAAGAAATTCTTTTTCAGTTTTGAAACAAAAACATATCATTGTGCACAGGTGAGGATTGCAATGGTGGGAAAGTATGTTGGTCTGACAGACTCATATCTGTCTGTTGTGAAGGTTTGATACTAGTTTAATTTCATGACTTGTAGACATCCTTAAATTTACCCTTAGTATCTGTTTTGGAAATATATCTTCAATGGAAAAATAGTGTTATAGAAGAAGGGCTTCTGGTTCTGTATATTATTATTGTTGTAAAATTATCTGTCCTTTTTTCATAAACAATCATCCGAATGTTTCATTTGCTGGAGGGATTAGCACATGGATCAGTTCATAAGTTCATATGACTCCATATCCAGCATCTTGGTATGGTAAAAGCCATATCATATTGTGATTGAAAAGTAGGTATTCGTTATTAGTGGTGCAAAATCATATGCCTGCTAAGTGGTTATGTGTTTGCTAAATACTGAATTTTAGTGGCTTGTTGATTTAAATCTCTGGTGGTAATCTATGTCTACTTCCCCCCTACTATATATATCTTCTTTTGCTTGTAGGCACTTTTACATGCCTGCATTGAATGCTCTTTGCAGCCATCGATTGACTGGATTGCAGCTTCAGACCTTGAAGATGATACTGCCCAATCGGTATTGAACCAGCAGCACTTTTGCTATTACAATTTTGTTTTTAAATTTTGAAAAATATATTATCTAAACATTCTTCTATCTCACCCAGACACCAGAAGCTCATGCTGCTGCATGGAAGACTTTAAGAGTAAGCCTTTTATTGTTTCCCCCATTGTTTTTAATGGCATAACTTCCTGCAGTGCCAGATGCTTTACCTGACAACCAATCTTGGTTTATCACTTTCATGGATTAGTTTCCAGCAAGAATAGACTGGAACTAGATTATTAATGGTCATTGAGAGTTGAATGTATGTCTTAAACTGAATCTTACATAGAGTTTACCAATTTAATATTTCTCTTTTTTGAAGGGGTGGGGCTGGGTGTGTAGCTGTCGGCTCTTATCAAAATTTGTACTTATCCTTTCTATTTAGGTCACTGGACTGTTTTTGTACAGCATACTCTAAAGGGAATTGGAATGGAGAGGCTGTTGTGGCAATTGAATTTTTTTTTCGAACTATTATTTACAGAATGCTGAATGTATCCTAGTTCCTGGTGGATTTGGAGACCGTGGTGTGCATGGAATGATATTGGCTGCAAAATATGCCAGAGAGAATAATGTTCCGTATCTTGGTATTTGCTTGGGTATGCAGATCTCTGTCATTGAGTATGCCAGATCTGTAAGTGACTTTTCTTTCAAGCACATGTTTTTTATGTTCCAAATTATACATTAAACTTTTTCTAGTTATTTGTTCCAGGTTCTTGGTTTAGAAAGGGCAAACAGTACAGAGTTTGATGAGCAGACACCTAATCCTGTCGTCATTTTTTTACCGGAAGTATACATTTCATTTTCCTCATTTTTCTTTTTTATACATCTGCCACATGCATGCATGGCTTTATTATTTTCTATTTGATGTGTCAGGGCTCAAGAACACATATGGGAAGCACAATGAGACGAGGATCTCGAAGAACACTATTTCAGACCCCTGATTGTGTTACTTCTAAATTGTATGTTATTTATCTGCTTCTGCAGAAAAAAGATTGAATACTGTTAATTCTTTTGTTTCCCTTGTCAATGGGTGCTTGTGCCATGTGACCTCTGGGTGACAAGTTTTATGTTACACCAAGTAGTTTACAAGGGTACAAGACTACATCTTTTCTGATGACATTGCTTCCCATGGGGTGTTACTTTATCTCAATTATTTATCAAGATGTTGATCAGTAAAATAAGCATGTTTTTATGTACCAAAAACAAAAGCATGTTTTTATTGTCCACTAGTTATTGACAAAATTATTGCTTGGTGTTTACATGCAATAAGAATATTGTCAAAATTAAAGATAGCCATGCATGATAATTCTTTTTTGTTTTACTTGCTAGGTACTGCAATCCACAGTATGTAGACGAACGGCACCGGCATAGATATGAGGTTCGTCGAGTTGGTTCATCTGGGAAAGAGAAAATTGTATCTGCCAGCATAACTTTTTATTTTGTTATTTGATTTATTGCCCCCTTACATGACACTGCTGCAGGTAAACCCAGATGTCATTGGGGTTCTTGAAGAAGCTGGGTTGAAATTCTTTGGGAAGGATGAAACTGGGAAAAGGATGGAGGTGGGCTTATGTGTGTTTTTTTCCCCTCTTGTTGAAGTTTTTCTTCTGGTTTGTGTAGCTATCTGTTGGATTCAATGGGATTTAGATTCTCTCCTCGCTATTTTTGAGCTAAAAAAAGGACAAGTTAATTTCTTTTTTTCATGTTTTGCAGGTTCTGGAGCTTCCAGGTCATCCCTTTTATGTAGGAGTGCAGTTTCATCCAGAATTTAAATCACGGCCAGGGAAGCCCTCGGCTCCATTTTTAGGTACTTACAATTAACAAGCAAATCCAGAGCTTATGCGCATGTGTTTTATTTTGCCAACAGCTCATGTGCATGTTTAAGTGCATAATTTGTCACTAATACCTTTTAAAAATGAAAATGATGTGAAAAAGACCATTAAGTTGTATCTATGTAGAAGGTCATGGTTCCATACGGGGCAGAGCTAAAGATGCATCAATATTTGACCATATAAAATAGAGCTACTGTCATTTGTCTGAATTTCAATTAAACCATGTAAATTAATACTTCTAAAATGGAGCTTCCTCATGCTACATCGTTATGAATATGAAGGAATATAAATAAAGTTCACATGCTTGGTCATATAGTTTCCATGTTTTCTATAAGCAAATATTTCATGAATTTGGATTATTCAACTTTTTATCTTATTACATGCAAGACAAAAGTAACATTTGTGCCTTTGCAATTATAGGTCTTATATTATCTGCTAGAGGACAATTGGAAGCATATCTTACAAGGCATCAAAATGGAATTTGATTTACAAGTTATGTGATACATCTGAATCTGCTTTACAGGGTAATCTTCTTTTTGAAAATTAAATATGTTAAGACTTTCCTTAGGTAGGCTTAGTAACCTGCTTGGTTGAGGATGTGATTTGACCTTGATAGTATCTACACCGGCTACCTGTGGCAGGTTATGTCAACTGGATTTTCTAATGTTGTGTGCAAATGTTTCTTTTGACGTTATATAATTACATTATTACGTAACTCACATTGCACAAGGAATGGATTTATAGGAAACTTGTCCAATTGGTCTGGTGGCCCAACTGGTATTAGGGACAGGTATATATATATATACACACACACACGCAACTTGACATCCTTGTATCTGATGCACTGTTTGGCCACAGGCTTGTTCCCTTTGCTTGGTTTGTGTTGGCTAGTACAATCAAATACAAGTTTCAATTATTTTGCTTTGTTTTGTGAACTGACTCGTAGCTTCTTACTTGGATGTAGGAGGAAATTGATAGATTTGAGGTCTTATGCTATAGATAAACGCAAACAGGTTCAAGTGGATGATCCTTGTTGCAATTGAGTATGAGGTGAGGCACATATTATGGTCCTTGAGCTCTTACACAACACGCTCTTTCTTATCTGCCTATGATAGTTGCTGCATTTGAATTGATATACACAGGTCAAATTTTCTGAGTTTGTTCCAGAAAGTTGTAGCTATGTATGAAAGTTGTAACATTCTTGACAGATTTCCTTTTTATTGTGCAAGTTTTTTATTGGATGGAACTCATGGGGTTAGGGGGGTAGAAAGACAAATGTTGGCCGATAATTTTCTTGGGTGGTTCTAAATACATCACAAAATCTTCTCTATACACGTCTAAAATTTTCTTTTAAAAATATTCACATAGCAAATATCAATTTTAACATTTAGTAAATGATAAAAATACTTTCAATAGCTTATATACTTCAAAACTACCGTTGTATATCTTGGAAATGGATATTTGAGATTTATATTATATTTTTGGTAATCCATTTTCGAGAAAGAAAAATAGGTTTTGAAAATACATTTTTGAGAACGAAATATAATTTTCAGAAATTTATTTTTGAGAATTATAATGCATTCTCAAAAATGGACTTTTGTGAGTGATCATGTATTTTTGAAAATTTATTTTTAAAAATACATAAAATTTTGTTTAAATATATATTTAATTATAAACTTTAATTATTTTTTTCGAGGTTTGGTTTAATTTCGGCAATAAAGACTTTTAATTTTTAGGCCACCAATATCCAAATGGTCGAAAGATATTGTTAGTCGAAAGATTATAAGTTTTTATTGTTGAATTTGGTAATATGTTGATGACATTGTTAGGGTAAAGTGTTCGAACTCGGATTAACATGCATGTATATAAATAAGTTATTAATGTGTTAAAATTTTACTTTCATATGTGCGAATGGAAGAGATCACGTTTTCAAGCATTCATGGAATAAAAATATTTTTGTTCTGAGCTTTGAAAACTAGAAAATGATTTCAGTTTTTTCATGCATGCTGAGAATATTGATTTTAATTTCATTTACGCATGTAATCAAACAATGAGTTCATAAGTGTATGATTAAAGTTTTTTGGTAATTAAAAGTAAAATCAAGCTTATAAAAAATAGAGATTTGGGAAGTTTCAAAATTTTTTGGATATTTATTTTTGAGAAAGCTTAATATTTTTTGAAAATGAAAATATAAGATGTTTTGCAATTTTTTGGAAATGAATATATAGTATTATTGACCTTAATATTTTTTGAATATTTATTTTTTAGAAGTTTCAAAGGGAGTTTTAAATATTTATTTTTGAAAAATTCAATTTCAAAAAGTGAATAGAAAATAAAAGATAAAAGGTACGAATAAAAAATAAAAAATTACAGGTGAGATGTATTTAGTATAAATAAAATAATAAATTTTGAAATTAGGGTGTATTTAAAAATATGATGTAAATAGCATTTAATGTATTGCTAATGGAAGTCCCATGGAGACTCTTCCGTATTGCGCCGTCGTTTCAAATAATTTGTGTATCAGTGATGAGATTCTTTGGGGACTGAGCATTTTGCATGCTGAAAGTGATATTTTAGTTGCCTTTCACTTCACGAGGATGAAAAAGATTACTCCCTCTTTCATCCCAAATCTTAGTCTTCCATTAACTTTCTTAGAACCTAAGAAAAACGTTTTGATTTTAGTTTATATAATATTAAATTTAATTTTTTTTCATAAATTTAAAGATTTATAATTTTAATATAAAAAATTAAAAATTAAAAATTAAAAAAAATTTAAATATAAAAAAGACATTTAAGTATTAAAAAATATATATAATTTTGTGATAACTAAAAGAAAAAAAGTGAATAATCAAAATCGGACGAAAGAAGTAAGCAATTAAACCAAATTATGACGAATGGCGATCAAAATGAAATCGTATAAATGTAATTATTACGCACGAAATATAAGTCTCTCTTTCCGTGAAACTTTTAATGCCGTTTCCTGACTTCAGGAAAATGTAGTTGGCATTCCATATTTTGTTTTTGTCAGAAGCCGCCGCATTTCTTATCATCTCTTTATAAAAAATTTTCAAAGAAAAAGGGTGTTGAATATGCAAAATATGCTTAAAAAAAAGATGCAGATTTCTCAAGATTCAATTTGTGCCTCTCTTAAGCATTTCAGTATATTCCAAATAAGAAATCCGTGTTTGCAACTTCATTTGCTCATAAAACTTTGCTATGAACTTCTCCGCCTTTGAGTCAATCCCTTCCTCCTCCAATGGATATGGACTCTTCTCATCACAACAACCCTCTTTTCCACACTCTTTCTCTTCTTCTTCTCCTTGTTCTTTCTCCTTAGAGCCTGTTGTGCAACTCTTCCTTCCATTATCATAGCCATAAACTCCATCATATTCACCCATACTAAAATCTTAATCAAAATCTACTTCCTTAGGGCTGATGCAAGTAAGAAGAAACCGCATGGAAGCAGGACGGTGCATCTTGAAATGGAAAATGGGGGTGTCGTCGAGGGAAAGCTGGCATTCTTTATTTTGGCTGATTTGGTCAAGACGAGGAGCTGTTGTGTGTCCAAGGCCTTTGAGGAACTTAGGCGTCAATCGTAGCTCCCTCATGAGCCGTCTCTTGAACACCCCACGTTTTACTGTCCATGACAATGCTAGACGCAGGAGACTTGATGCTCTTTGAGCAACATCACTATTCTGCTTCGGCATTTTCATCAACTTCATTTGCAGCAAATTAACTATGTTTCATTAGAAATTAAGTACTTGACAGAAAATTTTGGAACCAGAAAATTAACGCTGGGAAAGCAATTAGTTTGGGTACTGAAGTACTAAGATTTTGTTGAATGGTATCTAAGAACTTTTGTTTGCAGTAGAGATTTTGAGACGCTCAGGTTGACGAGGGAAGAGAAGTAAAAATATGTATATAATTTATGTTTGAGCGTTTGATACGCGGAAATAGAGAAAGGGAGAGAAAAAGAGCTTTTTTTTTTTTTGTTTGTTTGGTTTGGTGAGAACTGTGAACAATGGGCGGTGGAACATCGTGGGCAACAAGGTTGTACTTGTACGCGACATAAATCTAGCTGTTGCCGTTTTTTTTCCAAATCTAACCCTGTCCCCTTTCGTTTATTACTCTTACTCGGAGAAGCAGGAAATGTTTTTGGGGCCTCTTTAATTTTTGACAAAATGAAGTTAGATAGATTTGCGGCTCTTTTAATTTATTTGCCACTTGCAATTAAACCATCCTATTTAAAGAGGTTATAAAGCAGAAAAGGTTTTACATCAAGGTAATGCTGAAATCAATTTTGCCATTTCATAAAATGTAAATAAATGAAAAAGAATTTTGACGTTTAATATATAAACATGACTGAAATAAATATTATTAGTAGCAATTACTACATTGTGAATAAATGAGAAAAAAAAAATAGAGCTATTCAATTGTTAAGAAAGGTAAAGATTTCAATGTGCATCAATCTTGCTAATTTTAATCTAACAAATTCATTTACGATTAAAGGCTTGCATGGGGCTGTGGTAAGTGTCCATATAACCTATTGTTCTTTATTTCTCCGACACTTTGAAGCAATCCTTAATATAATGAAAATAAATGATTTTCCATCTCAGTTTCTCATTCTAACTAACAGCTTCTCTATAACTAACAAAGCTGTAAAATTTTCTTTAGTATACCCTTTAAAAAAAATCACATTCAAAGAACATGTTATTAAGAGTTAGAGCCACATAAAAAGGCTATAAGTTGGAGAGAAATTGGCTACGGCATTTCTGTTTAGGCCAACGGCAGAGCTCTAAGTTCACCAAGCGAAAAGGAAAAAACAAAGGGTAACTTGTTAAACAACAGTTGCCAGCGTTCCCATTTTACAACTTGTCTAGTTCAACAAGAAAACATGTGGTAGAAATAGACTCCAAGTTATAAAGGCAGTTTCTTTTTTTTATTATTATTATTTTAAAAGAAAAAAAAGTTAACACTTTTTCTTTAACCTAAGAAAAAGAAATCCAATATCCTTTTCCCACGAAAATGAAGGGAAATTATTAAAACACAATTGCTTTGAAGAGTGAAGAGCCAAAAACAATTAAGGGCGCGTAGTATAGGGCGCTATCATTAGTTTGTTCATACTATTAGATTAACCAACAACGTGATGATAGTGTAAGTCACTGTCATTTCTTTAATGAAAATGACATTTTTGGTTTACTTATAAATTTTAATTAGATGAATTACATATAGATATCCTGTGATTATGATAAAATAAATTTATTAATGTCACTTAACTCTTATGTTTTACTCTATTAACGATATTCTTAATGTCGTTAGATCTAGCTTCCTTTTCCTTCTTCTCCTAACTTTATTCATTACACCACCAGCCGACCACTTATCATCGTCCCTTCAAGCTTTCTCTCACTCCATCTTCAAATTTTATTCATCAAGCCACCACTTATTTACATTTTCTCCATAATCAGTAGCAGATCTTGACTTATAGACTTGAAGGGGTCAATTGATAATATATTATATATTTTTTATTAGACATATATATATGCATACAGATAATATGTAAATAATATATTAATAAAAAATAATCAATTTATAAAATTATAACATAAAAATATTAGTATGATAGTATTAAACTTTTAATGATAACAAGAGTTTCAAATTAATGATAAAGTTACTAATTAAGCTATCTTTCAATGAATTGTTAGATTTTTTTTATTTTTTTAGAAATTTAAAATTAAAATAAAAGAATATAAATAAATCAATTATTAAACAATATATTTTTTATCAAAAAAAAAATTAAAAAGAACAAAGTTGAAACTTTGAGATTAGAAGTTATGAATTTTTTTTAACTTTCTATAAAGCGCTTCCAATCTTTTTTTTTCTTTTTTTTTTTGTTGAAAAATGATTTTAGGATAGCATGAGATAAAGATCTAGAGTAAAATTAAAAATAAAAATTATATGTAGAGAGACTCTGTAATAAGCTAAAAAGAAAAGGAAAACACATATTTGGTACATAGTTGGAGATTTGGAGTTTTGCTTAGAAAGCTAGAAAGTTAATTTGATTTTTTGTTAACTTTACATGATTGTGGTTTAAAACTTATTACAAATCACTAGATTGATTTTAAGAATTTATAAATAATGATTTATGAGTACAATAAATAGACACATAACAATGTAATTTTAATTCTTTTTAAATTGCAATAAGGCATATAATTGAAATTGAAAATCACAAAATAAATTAAAAAATTTAATTTAAAGGGTCAACTTAAATTTATTTAATATTACTATACACATGCTAAAGATTTTTAAAAACTTTAAGGGGGCCAAGGTCCCCT